AAGTTTTGGGCTCGATCCGAAATCAATAGGTGTAAGAAATTGGACAATTCAAGTTCAAAGGCAGTTCGTTCCTAATTGGAGTGGTTGGTGTTTTGGGTGGTTCTAGAGATTGGATTTCACTCAAACTAAACCAAATGACTCCTCCCACCCGATTATGATGTTGCCCAAGTTTTGGGCTCGATCCGAAATCAATAGTTGTAAGAAATTGGACAATTTCTGTTCAATGGCAGTTCGTTCCTAATCGGAGTCGTTGGTGTATTCCATAGTTCTAGAGATCGGATTTCACTCAAAACTAACCAAATGACTCCTCCCACCATATTATGATGTTGCCCACGTTTTGGGCTCGATCCGACATCATTAGGTAGAAGAAATTGGACAATTTATATTCAAAGGCAGTTCGTTCCTAATTGGAGTGGCTGGTGTTTTGGGTTGTTCTAGAGATCGGATTTCACTCAAACTTAACCAAATGACTCCTCCCACCCTATTATGATGTTGCAAAAGTTTTGGGCTCGATCCGAAATCAATAGGTGTAAGAAATTGGACAATTCAAGTTCAAAGGCAGTTCGTTCTTGATTGGAGTGGTTGGTGTTTTGGGTAGTTCTAGAGGTCGGATTTCACAGAAACTTAACGAAATGACTCCTCCCACCATATTATGATGTTGCCCAAGTTTTGGGCTCGATCCGAAATCATCAGCTGTAAGACATTGGACAATTTATGTTCAAAGCTAGTTCATTCCTAATCGCCGTGGTTGGTGTATTCCATAGTACTAGAGATCGGATTTCACACAAAACAAACCAAATGACTCCTCCCACCATATTATGATGTTGCCCTTGTTTTGGGCTCGATCTCAAATCAATAGGTGTAAGAAATTGGACAATTCAAGTTCAAAGGCAGTTCGTTCCTAATAGGAGTGGTTGGTGTTTTGGGTAGTTCTAGAGGTCGGATTTCACAGAAACTTAACGAAATGACTCCTCCCACCATATTATGATGTTGCCCAAGTTTTGGGCTCGATCCGAAATCATCAGCTGTAAGAAATTGGACAATTTATGTTCAAAGCTAGTTCATTCCTAATCGCCGTGGTTGGTGTATTGCATAGTTCTAGAGATCGGATTTCACACAAAACAAACCAAATGACTCCTCCCACCATATTATGATGTTGCCCAAGTATTGGGCTCGATACGAAATCAATAGGTGTAAGAAATTGGACAATTCAAGTTCAACGGCAGTTCCTTCCTAATCTGGATGGTTGGTGTTTTTGGGCAGTTCTAGAGATCGGATTTCACTCAAACTAAACCAAATGACTCCTCCCACCATATTATGATGTTGCCCTTGTTTTGGGCTCGATCTCAAATCAATAGGTGTAAGAAATTGGACAATTCAAGTTCAAAGGCAGTTCGTTCCTAATAGGAGTGGTTGGTGTTTTGGGTAGTTCTAGAGAACGGATTTCACTCAAACTTAACCAAATCACTCCTCCCACCATATTATGTTGTTGCCGCAGTTTTGCGCTAGATCCGAAAACAATAAGTGTAAGAAATTGGACAATTCAAGTTCAAAGGCAGTTTGTTCCTAATTGGAGTGGTTGGTGTTTTGGGTGGTTCTAGGGATTGGATTTCACTCAAACTTAACCAAATGACTCCTCCCACCCTATTATGATGTTGCCGCA